AGAGTCTTGCTGTGTTCCCCAGGCTGGTCTCAAACTCTGTCCTTAAGCAGTCCTCCTGCCTCACCCTTACTTTTTTTGTGTGTGACAAAGTCTCGCTCTGTTGCCCAGGCTGGAGTGCAGAAGTACAATCTCAGCTCACTGCAACCTCCACTTCCTGGGTTCAGGCGATTCTCATGCCTCAGCCTACTAAGTAGCTGAGGCTAACAGGTACATGCCACCACGCCCAGCTACTTTTTGTATTTTTAGTAGAGACGGGATTTCCCATGTTGGTCAGGCTGCTCTCAAACTCCTGACCTCAGGTGATCATTCACCTTTGCCTCCCAAAGTGCTGGGATTGCAGGCATGAACCACCATACCCGACCTCAGCTTTACTTTTTAGGTTTTCAAATGGACTCTGAAATTTTTCAGAATATCAAATGCCATCATGTTTATTTAATCAATTATCCTTCAGCATAAAATGCATTTAAATCATTTTGATTTTTTTGGTTTGGTTTTTTTGTTTGTTTGTTTTGAGACAGAGTCTTACTGTGATGCCCAAGCTGGAGTGCAATGGCAAGATCTCGGCTCACTGCAACCTCTGCCTCCCAGGTTCAAACAATTCTCCTGCTCCAGCCTCCTGACTAGCTGTGACTTCAGCACGCACCACCATGCCCAGCTGGTTTTTGTATTTTTTTTTAGTAGAAACGAGGTTTCCCCATATTGGCCAGGCTGGTCTCAAACTCCTGATCTTAAGTGATCTGCCCACCTCAGCCTCCCAGAGTGCTGGGATTACAGGCGTGAGCCACTGTGCCAGGCCGAAATTTATTTTTTATTAAGAATAAGGACCTAAAAAGTCAGCATCCCCAGTCAAAGTAGTAGTTGGAGTGAGCTAATATCTTTTAAAATTCCATTTTACTATAAGGAACTTGACCTTCTCAATATGACCATTTATCACATTATCCCCTTTCTTCATGGTTATACTTTTTTCTTCCAGTTTGTCAATCAAAGGTAATTACCTAAAATAATCAGCTCTTTCAGCCTTTGCAGCCCAGATGTAGCATTTGTCATGGCAGCTGTATATACACAAACATGCTTGTTTGCACTAAGAGAATGGGAATAAATTGCACAAACCCAATGAAAATCCCAAAAGTGATTTTTTAAATCAATATATCTGTGAAAGAATGTAGAGAAAACCAAGCTTTTAAAAAATGAGTAATGAAATAGGGATGCATTACTTGGCATCATGGAGGATATTGTAATAGAACCATGATTAAACTGTGTCTTCATTGGTGCACAAAGTGTATTTGCAGTTAAAATAATGTTACCTTTAAAGACTGCACTTGGAATTCTTTTTAATTTTTCCACAACAAGCAGTGTGTATGTGTGTGTGTAACTCTGTCGCCCAGGCTGGAGCGCAGTGGCGCCATCTTGTCTCACTGCAACCTCTGCCTCCTGGGTTCAAGCAATTCTCTAGCCTCAGACTCCCGAGTACCTGGGATTACAGGCACACGCCACCACATCCAGCTAATTTTTGTGTTTTTAGTAGAGACAAGGTTTCACCATGCTGGCCAGGCTGCTCTTGAACTTCTGACCTCAAGTGATCTGCCTGCCTTGGCCTCCCAAAGTGCTGGGATTACAGGCATGAGCCACCATGCCCAGCCACAACAAGTATATATTTATGCTCAGAAATAAAATACAATACTTTTGAAAGGCTGGCGCTGTTTGCCAAAAGCTATCCAACTTCCCCACTCTAAATTCTCTGATTGATTGAAACACTCTCTTTTTTCTGTAACAGGCTGTGTTGACATCCCTGTCGTAGGTAGGAAATTCCAGCACAGAACTGGTACCAGAAACCTGCTGATTAGGAGTCTCTTATAGAGGCCAGGAGCCTTTCACAACAGCACTTTGGTGTTTATCCTTTATCCTTAGAGAGAGAGAGTTTTAAAAACAAAAATAATGCTGGCCGAGCACACTGGCTCACGCCTGTAATCTCAGCACTTTGGGAGACCAAGGTGGGCAGATCACTTGAGGTCAGGAGATCAAGACCATCCTGGCCAACATGGTGAAACCCCATCTCTACTAAAAATACAAAAATTAGCTGGGTGTGGTGGCACATGCCTGTAGTCACAGCTACTCGGGAAGCTAAGGCAGGAGAATTGCTTGAACCCAGGAGGCAGAGTTTGCAGTGAGCCAAGATCACACCACTGCACTCCAGCCTGGCAACAGAGTGAGACTCCATTTCAAAAAAAAAAATTATAATGCTAAATTGATTCATTTTCTCTTGTTTGTCTAGCCAGACTCCAGCTTCTATGTTATTTTATACTGTATAGATCTAAACTGAACTCTGATCTTTTTAGTAAACTAAAGATTGTTTTAGCCACTAAGCTCTTGCTCTTTATTCTCTCTTAATTATTTCCTGGAAATAATATTAGAAACAAAGGAAATATGCTGTATTTATTATGCAGCCATTGAAAACATATTTTCAGTCATATATAATGCAGTGAACAGTACTCACAATACAATGGTAGTTAAAGAATGTGTCAAACGAAATGTGAAGTATGATACTGTTAGAAGCTGATTTATATAAATTTATTAAAAGACTTGGCATAAAAATTACCAAAATGTTACAAATGATTACTTCTTGATGCAAGTGTATGCAATTGTCTTATTTCCTTTATATTTTTCCTTTTTCCTCAATTTTTCGGAGTAAAATGTATATTGTTTTTATAATGAAAACATAAAACTATATTTGCTTAAAAAACTCTTATTTAAAAAGAAATAAAGGAAGGTGACAGGAGCAGTCCTCTGTGGGGGTCCAAGGAGGAATCAGTGTTACTGTGGAAAGTAATACTAGGCCTTGCTTCTGTTGACTTGAAGATTATTGAGCTCCCAATTTATTAGTTAGGCCAGAGGTGTCCTGTTGATGAAAATTGCCAGGCTGGTGACATACAACAGGTGCAGACCTCTGTAGTGTGAGCCCTGGGAACACACTGAGAACTGCCAGCGTTTTGGCAGTGCTTCGCAGCACTCACAGCTGCTGTATTTCAAGCAGGTGCTGCTCTAACACTTCAGTGTTCTGTGATGTGAGGTCTGGCCCCACTCTCCCTGAACACTCCAGGCTTTGACCACCTCCCAAATACCTGGCCAGACTATTGTCACGAGAGCTGTCAAATGAAATCCTGGGGCAGGAGTCATCAGTCATTTAGTGCGCTTCCAGAAGGAATCAAAGGAGTATCTGTTCATGCAGGGGAAAGGAAAGAGAAAAGAAAAAATGGAGAGCAAGTCTGTTCCTTCAGAAAAACACAGAACCAATGTTACAACTAAGAATTTTAGAGTCCTTGGCTGTGAGTCAGGTGTTTGGTGTTATATAAGGATTTATCAGTCACTGTTTCAGAAGAGTATCGGAAAACCTCTGTGAAATGAATGAGGGGAGCATAAGCCAGGATGAGGCAGAATTCATAAGTTCCCTCATCACATCTCTTGGCCAAGAAAAACATGCACTTTCTCCAGAGACGGAATTCTTCTTCCATTCCAGGAGGTGGAGGAACATTTGAAGTATATGTAGTCCAGGATTTCAGATGAGCAGCTTTCACTAGGAGTTTTTTGTAATCCACTCATACATAAGTGAAAAGAGAAATTGTGAGGTAACTGGAGTCTTTCTGTATCAGGAATAGCATCTCTGTAAAAACAAGTCAGTCCTGTGCTTAATCCCTGCCTCAATACAGAGCTATCCGTCCATCTAGTGTGGATATATTAAACCAGCATTCTCTCCCTGTCTCCCAGAAGGACAGCTGGGTGTGACAGCATAAATGTGTGACAGTGTGTGAAAATGTTTCTATAATCTTGAAGATTTCAGTAGTGATTAGAAGAGCTTTAGCCTCTGGTCAATTTTCTTTTACTTGGGAGGCATAAAGAATATTTGAGTCCCTTATTTCAGACTGACCTTGACTTTTCTTATTGTTATGATTTCTTTTGCCTTAGATCATCCAGCCCCTCTTAGAACTTGACCAAAATAGAAGTAAATTAAAGTTGTACATTGGACACCTGACAGCCCTCTGCCATGACCGAGACCCCCTGATCCTCCGTGGACTCACTCCACCAGCTTCCTATAACTTGGACGATGACCAGGCGGCTTGGGAGAATGAGCTGCAGAAGATGACCCAGGGGCAGGTGAGCCTCTCACTCACACTTTGACAAGAGCCTGTGAAAATCTGTTTGCTGTGTAGGTTGATGCAGCGGAGGTACCTTGGGGAATTCCATGTTCAGATTCAAGATTTTGGGGTGATGAAGGGTTTCCAGATACCATTTTTTAAATGATTTTTCATTGCTTTTTTATTGTTTTATTTTTTTAATTCACAAATTAAAAATGCATATTTCTCATGTACAACATGTAATTTTGAAGTGTTTGTCCATTGTGGAATGGCTGAATAGAGCTAATTAACATTTGCATTACCTCATATACTTTTCATTTTTGAGTATGTGTGTGGTGAAAACAGTTAAAATCTACCTAGCAATACATTGTTATTAAGTATAGTCAGCATGTTGTACACTAGATCTCTCTTTTTTATTTATTTATTTATTTTTTTGAGACAGAATCTTGCTCTGTCATCCAGGCTGGAGTGCAATGGTGCAGTCTTAGTCACTGCAACCTCCACCTCCTGGGTTCAAGCCATTCTCCTGCCTCAGCCTCCCAGGTAGCTGGGACTACAGGCATGCACCACCATGCCCTGCTAATTTTTTTGTATTTTTAGTAGAGATGGGGTTTCACCATGCTGGCCAGGCTGGTCTCAAACTCCTGACCTCAAGTGATCTGCCCACTGCGGCCTCCCAAAGTGCTGGGATTACAGACGTGAGCCACTGGACCTGGCCAGTTGTACACTAGCTCTCTTGAACTTATTCCTCCTTATCTAACTGAAATTTTGAAACCTTTTAGCAACATCTTTCCAGTCCCTGGTAACCACCATTTTCCTCTTAGATTCAAGATTCTTGACAATGAATAGTCTTTCAACAGATATTTGGAATTACCTTTTGAAGGAAATACTGCTCAATTCTTGCCTCAGTGTAACTTACTCAAGTATCAGGAAGGGCTGATTTATAAGGGAGAAGGCCAAGGACAATCTGTTAACATTGTCATAAGTTATTACATAGAAGTGGCAGCCACTGAAGGAAAGTCTGAGTAGTTTAGGTTAATCCCATGTCGTAGTCCATTCAGGCTGGTAAAACAAAGTAGCACAGACTGGGCAGCTGATAAACAGCAGACATTTATTTCTCTCTGTTCTGGAGGCTGGAAGTCCCAGATCAGGGGCCCCGGGATTGTTGGTTTCTGGTTCCTTTTTTCCTATTGCATTCTGCAGACCTCATGAACTAATTACCTCCCAAAGGCCCACCTCCTAATTCCATCACATTGGGGGTTGGGATTTCACCATATGAATTGAGGGGAGGAGGGTAAACATTCTGTCCATAGTACTCCCTATACTACATTTTCTGTTTACTGTCACCTCTAAAAATCCAGTGATTCTTTTTTTTTTACATGTTATGATTTTTGGTTCAATAAAGACAGGGTAATGCTAGCCTGGAGACAAAAATCAGGAATAAAAGAAACAGAAGACAGGATGAAGTAGGGATGGAGTACATACATGGAAAGGGAAGCAAAGAAAAAGTTGATAAACACTGAGAAATAAACAGAAAAAGAGAAAAACAGGTCAGTTTTTTAATTTAAAGCTCCTTTTGCTCCTAGTTTACTGATAGAGGTCAGTGATATTCCTTACCCCTTTCATACTTAATCATACCAACAGAAGTCTAAAGAAATGCACAGATGTTGTAAACTTACTAACACTCTTCATCAGAACTTTGAAGCTATGCACTATTTCTAGCTAAATACTTTCTATTTGTTAAATATTGTTTGTTTATTCATGGTGTGTAAAGGTAAATTGTATTTAATACAAAATTTCCTGTGGTATGATATTAAAGATAACAGTGACAACCCACAAGTCAAGAAATGCAACCTGGTGAGACTTAGAGCTGTACTTACTTTCCCATGATGTGGATATTTCCTAATAGTTCATAGACATAATTTCACAGCCTAACTAGTTATCCAAGACACCTCATTTATTTGCTGTGAAAAGATAAGACCTACTTCTCAAATTTAGCATGTTGCCATAGGAATTTTATTTTCTTCTTTTTTTAAAAATAGAGACAGGGTTTCACCATGTTGGCCAGGATGGTCTTGATCTCCTGATCTCAGGTGATCCGCCCACCTCGGCCTCCCAAAGTGCTGGGATTACAGGCGTGAGCTACCGCGTCTGGTCCAGGAATTTTAATTTCTTTCTTTCTTTCTTGAAAGAGGAAAAAAATGTAAAGGACAGTATTAAATTCAGTGAGGTGCTGTGGCTTACACCTATAGTCCCAGCTACTCAAGAGGCTGAGGCAGGAGGATTGCTTGAGCACAGGAGTTCAAGGCTACCATGAGCTATGATTATGCTACTATACTCTAGCCTGGGTGGTGACAAAGTGAGACCCTGTTTCCAAATAGAGAAAAAAAAGAAAAGAAAGGAAAAAAAAGGACCGTATTAAATTCCTAATAGCTCCTTTTTATATTGATAACCATATAGTAAAAATGTAATGGAAATAAATAAATATATACATAATTACAATGCAGTCAAAAGCCCATCGCAAACAGGGCCCATGGCTATTCATTTTAGAGACTTTTGCTTCTGAATTTTGCAGAAAAACAGTGCTTCTTAAAACCAGTGCTGCCAGGCACAGTGGCTCACACCTGTAATCCCAGCACTTTGGGAGGCTGAGACAGGAGAATCCCTTGAGCACAGGAGTTCAAAACCAGCCTGGGCAACATATCAAGACCTCGTCTTTACAAATAATTAAAATTATCCAGACACGGTATCACATCCCTGTAGCCCCAGATGCTCAGGTAGCTAAGGTGGGAGGATGGCGTGAGCCTGGACAATCGTGGCTGCAGTGAGCTGAGATTGTGCCACTGTACTCCAGCCTGGGTGGCAGAGCAAGACCCCATCTCAAAAAAAAAAAACCTTAGTGCTTCTTAATGTATTAAAGTTTAACTGGCATTAAATTATTGCTTTATAAAATAGCTTGTCTTTGTTTTGTTTTTGTTTTGGAGGCAGAGTCTCACTCTGTCACCCAGGCTGGAGTATAGTAGTGCGATCTCCGCTCACTGCAAACTCCGCCTCTCAGGTTCATACAATTCTCATGCCTCAGCCTCTTGAATAGTGGGGACTACAGGTGCACAACACCATGCCTGGCTAATTTTTTGTATTTTAGTATGTTGCCCAGGCTGGTCTTGAACTCCTGAGCTCAGGCAGTCTGCCCACCTCGGCCTCCTGAAGTTCTAGGATTACAGGAATGAGTGACCATGCCTGGCCAGCTTGTCTTTGAAATGGAAAAGGCATTTCTGCTCAGTCTTGTATTTTCAGTATGCCTGGATGGACTTAATCTTACCAAAGGGGAAAAAAAAAAACCATCTTCAGGGTGAGACCAAGATAGAAAATTTCAAACTAAGGATTTTTCAGCCAGTTTTGAGTGAATGAAACCTGATTAATAGACTTCCCATTGCACATTGTGTTACAGTCAAGCTACTGCACTCATCCAAACAATTGTGCTCACACACATGAACTCTGTTAATATTGTCATGTTTCCCCTTAATTGAGAATGTACTTCCGTTACTGAAGTTATTGTTTGAGGTGTGTGAAATTGTATTCTCCTCAATAGTCCCTGAGAAACGAGAGACCTGGATCATCTACAGAGAATACAAAAACTAACAACCCCTATTATAAGTTTCCTCATAGCTTCTAAAGATTGGTGGAGAAACCAACCCATTTCCTGCTTCCTTACCCCAAGTAAGAATCTAAGGGGGTAGTGTAGGTTGTCTAACAATACAAAATGACTTGCCTGTGAAAGTATTGTGATCAGAGTTTTGACTTCAGCTTTAAAGGCCAAGAAACATAAGATGTGAGTCACTGCCAAATATGCATATTGTTTTATTTTGTGTGCATGTTTTGTTTATGGTTTTGTTTTTGTGATGCAGAGCCTTCTGCTCCTGACATTTGTATTTGTCACCTCATATCTCCAGTGCATTTCATGCCATCATGCTCCCCGTAACACCACCCCCGTAAGGACAAGACAAGAACTTTGTCTTTTTCAGTGCTAGGGCAGTGCAGAAGGGAAATGTGGGGTCAGAACCCCCAGACAGAGTCCCCACTGGGATGCTGACTAGTGGAGCTGTGAGAAGAAGGCCACTGTTCTCAAGACCCCAGAACAGTAGATCCACCGCTGGTTTCCACCGTGCACCGGGAAAAGCCATAGGCACTCAATGCCAGCCCATGAAAGCAGCTGGCAGGGGGGCTGTGCCTGGGACCCCTACCTCTTTCACAGCGCGACCTGGATGTGAGACATGAAGTTAAAGGAGATTATTTTGGAACTTTAAGGTTTAGTAACTGCCCTATTGGATTTTGGACTTGCCTGGGGCCTGTAGCTTCCTCGTTTGGGCCAGTTTCTCCCATTTGGAATGGGTCTATTTACCCAATGCCTGTACCCTCCTTGTATCCAGGAAGTAACTAGCGTGCTTTTGATTTTACAGGCTCATAGGTGGAAGGAACTTGCCTTGCCTCAGATGAGACTTTGGACTTGGACTTTGGGTTTAATGCTGGAATGAGCTAAGACTTAGAGGGACTCAATTGGGAAGGCATGATTGTGTTTTGAACTGTGAGGACATGAGATTTGGGAGGGGCCAGGGGCAGAAAGCTATGGATCAGCTGTGTCCCCACCCAGATCTCATCTTGAATTGTAGTGCCCATAATCCCCACATGTTGTGGGAGGGACCCATGGGAGGTAATTGAATCATGGGAGTGGTTACCCGCCCCCCTGCTGTTCTCATGATAGTGAGTAACTTCTTATGAGATTTGATGGCTTTATAAGGGGCTTTTCCCCCTTTGCTTGGCACTTCTGTCTCCTGCCACCATGATTGTGAGTTTCTTGAGGCTTTCCCAGCCAGGCAGAATTGAGTCAATTAAACTCTTTCCTTTATAAATTACCCACTCTCAGGTATTTCTTCATAGCAGCATGAGAATAGGCTGATACACTATGTCTTTATGTTCAAAGCAGGTTTCCTGTAGAGAGCATGTATCAAATCAGTAATT